GGAGGGGAGGGGAGGGGAGGGGAGGGGAGAGGAGAGGAGAGACAGGAGGGGAGAGACTATAACTTACTCACCAAGACTCACTGTGCTGGACTCAGACACTATGACCACATCGTTAAAGTTACATCCTTTCCCATTACATCCCTCACAGGAACTCTCGCTGCCACAGCCCCGCCCTGTCACTATGGAGATGCTTGTTTTCGTCATGGTAACGATGAGCATGTCCTTCTCCTCCCCGTTCTCCATATCTTCACCTTGACCAGCATCCTTCCCTGGACACACTTCCTCACTTTCTTCTACCACTTCATTCTCCGCCTCCCTCCTCATCTCCATGCAGAAACTGAGCATTTTAGATTCCTTAGAGACAGCATATAAAGTGTTGTCATCGCTGGAGGGCAGCTCCTCGTGCTCCTTCTTATTGCTCTGCTTGTGCACCAACTAAAGAGACCGAAAACAGAGGATCACTGGTGTAAAGTATTTTAAATTGTAGTCTCAATTATTAATGAATTATTGTGTGAAGCCAATTAATACAATAGAAAATTAAACAATAAAACAAAAAGGAGCAGTCAAGGAAGCAGAAGACCTTCAAACGTGGAGATATTCACCATCCTGAGCTTTATGTTTTAAAATATATCTCCTACCACCATGGATGATTTGAAATATTGGTACAGTTGAGGAATAGGTCGATAGAAAGTTTGCTCATAGAATTCAAGTGAACATGGAGAGTTTCACTCTTTGATAGAATTGCTTTCATGCGACACTGCATCATGCAGATGCTTTGGTTTTCAGCCACCCCTGACTCAAACGGAACAGAGAGTCTCAAACAGACACACTGAAGATTATCTGTGTGGAAGACGGTGAGAAGCCGTCGGACTCACCAGCATCGGATTCCCCTCAGCTAACATCTCTGCCAACTGCTCCGGTGGGAGATCCTGCAGGTCCACGCCGTTTATCTGCATCAGCCGGTCTCCTCTCCTGCAGGTGTTTGTGATAAATGACACATACAAGAACAGTTGAAATGCGTTTCCAGCCGACTGTTTCAGGCCTAATTAACGATATTAGAAATTTAATTGTATTTATTATTAAGGATGAGTCATTAGAAAATGGTATTATATGTTCTGCTGAGTGCCTTATGTTTTAGTTTGATGTTGTCTTCGGCCTAGTTTTTGTTTTTTGGACCATATTTGATGTTATGATCTTTCAATATTTTCTACATTTATTTTGACCCCCCACAGATGAGCATTCTGTGATCCACGTTATAAA